AGTAGAATATGTTATCTCCAAGGAGGCTGTTGGTCCCCTCACTGAAAGGCTGCAAGGTCACCTAGATGACCCTTTAAGTTCCTGGGTCAGATTTGCATTCCAGCACTTTTGCTGTCAAAAACATCCAGGAAATAATACTTTACATTATCTCCACTGGAACAAAATAATAAAGAAATAATCATTTGGCACAACTGAGCACTGCTGCTCAGCACATCATCATCCTTATATAATATGCATTTTGAAGAAAGATAACATTCTTGAAGTCGGGTTATCTATGGACAATCAGCTGTCATAGTTCAGAGTTTGCAATGATTCTGTGCATAAAGGCACTTCCATCCCAGTTCTGCTTGCTTTCCCAAGGTCACATCCAAATAAAACCAAAATAAAAAAGCTCCTTCATCACAGCTCTGCTTAGCATCCCTATTTCCCTGCTTTCCTAACATGGACTGCCTTCTAGAATAATCCATTCAGGAGGAAGAGGGTGGCATGTATACAGTTCCTTCACTGCATTAGTTTACGTTGCATATACTTATTCATTTTTCTTAACTTAATGTGCATTTGGTAGTCCTGTATGGTACTTTTCAGGAAAAGCTTATTTCAGCATCAAAACTGAATATTATACTTCAATTTACTGAACTGATACACGAACTTTGCTGATGTTCAATTGTATTTCTGTGATTTTATTAACTCACTTATATGACACTGAATCACAGTCTCTCACCAATCTATTTCCTCTATTTCTCCACATATATAGTAATACAGTGGATATATTTGAAACAATAGAAATAACACACAAGTAGAATTTTGCACAATTATAGCCAGCAGTGCACAAAATAAGACATTGTTAATAATAAATAGTAACATTATGTAAAGAAATACCATCTGAAAGTTGATTTTACACGGCATATTAAAGACTTGATGGCTCAGGAGATTGGTAATAGAATAAAAAGCCTTTTATCTCAAGGTCATCAATTCAAATACAAGTCAGACTGATAGCAACTGAAAGCCATTTGATGAGAGCGTTAATGAGCCTAGTCTCGTTTCTAAAAATTTAAGAATAGCCATAACATTCAGCCCTTTCTCTGCCTCTGACAGCAGTCAATACAGAAATCATATGGAGGCAATGCACCCATCTGGCTGGTGGAGCTGTATTCCTCTCTTATACACTGCCAGCCCCAGGCTATTGCTATTTTAGCAGTTTCCTAGCAGGTATCCATTTGTTCTGTTCCAAAATTCAAAATCCTCAGTGCTGCCAACTGCGTCTTTTATTGCTTGGAGGGCTGAAAAACAGAACTGGGCTTTCAGCTCCCCACACAACCACTTCAAGTGATACATGAGCAACACTCCGGTCATTTGCTGGAGTCATAACAATCTGATACACTAATAGATTACCTTTTTTGCTACTTTAATACTTTCTTTCTGGTTTGTATCAACGACAGCAATGTACCATAGCAAGGCAATGCACTGAGAAAAAAAAGAATCCCAGTGCAAACTGCAGCAACTGTTGAGCTATCCTCTCATCAGCCAGCAAACAAAGCAAGCCACACATTGTGCAGCTTCACAAGCAAGCTCAACATCTTCCAGAATAAAACTCCTGGTATGATTTTCCTTTGTTCCAGTAAAATGCCTAAGTAATTTACTATTGGCTGTAGTATTAGCATGATGCAATGCACTGATCCACTGAAACCATGCACTGAAACCACTGGTGATGTTCTTCTGTCTGAATTTTTATGCTGAGCAAGTTTTATATTTTTATATATATATATATATACACACATATATACACACACACAGTTCCAGAGGCAAAGGTCAGTGTTTACATATGCAAACTAACTGCCCAGACCATCTACAAGTGCCTGCTGGCAGGTATAAATGGGGACATCCAGAAGCAGCACTCAGTGCAACATGCAGTAAAAGGATACGTTTTCACCATGATCTGAATTTGAAACCCACTGATTTCTTTCTGAACTGTGGCATATAAACAAGTTCCCCAAGTAAAAATTATTCCAAATTGTATAAACTACCAACCTCACAGCTCAAGTAACCTCCATCTGCAGTGCCCAGGCTTTGGAGGGCTGCTTTGTCTCTCAGAAGTGACTAATGGATTAATTCTAAAGGTGATTGGGTGCTTAAAGATGCCATTTACAACCAGCATGGGTTACAATGTCTGGGTAATCAATTCCCTTAATGCAGTTTTCCCCTTAGCACAGCACAGGTGCCTAATAGCTGTTACAGAGCCAGCTCTGGTGCAGGGCAGGTAGTGGAAATGCCCAAGATCCCACTTTGTGCCCTACATCCAGAACTTCCCACAGAGCACAGGAACAGCTCCATCACACTACAGAGTATCTCTTTCTGATCCACATCTCCAGCAGAGGGAATTTGTTCATGCCATATACAAGCATGAGCTTTAAAGGTTCAACATCATGGAAGCTCTCTGTACAATAATGGCAGTATGAACACCTGGACACACCACCCGAACCACATGTGCCCCACTGGTGTCTGGCCCAAAGTGCTGATGGCCAACTTGAATTTTCCCTTGCAAGTGGTCAGGGCTGAACCTACTCCACTTTGCAAAGGACAAAGCTGGAGACTGCCATGTTTCTGCAAAGAGGAGCCCCCCAGCCTGCCACACCAAATGGATCTACTTACCCCACATTTGTCTAGAAGACTGTCAGGAGTACAGAAATGTGAATTTAAGTGGATTTCAGAGTGTGGAGAACTCCTGAATCCATCAGTTAAGGTCATTAGCTCATGTGACACACCTCGCTGAAGTCAATTTTCAGAGATAAGCGTGTGACAACCTGACTGGAGGAATTCTCCTGTAATGTATTATTAATTCATTTATTATTACAGTTATTATAATCTTTATGTGGGGGCACTGAAGCTCAATTTGTTCTATTGCAGCTAAAGCTTTTAATGAGCCCTTTCTTCTCCTCGGGATAGGAGCTTCATTCAGCAACTCTGTGGCTTTTAGAGAGTAGAAAATGACACAACGGTGTGTCCAATTTACAAAGGCAGCTTCACACACTGTGCCCTGAATTTTACATGCAAACAATGGGACAACTAGCTTTCAAACTGCAGAGTATCTCTTAAAATGTAACGAACTCAGAGATTCTAAATATAGGAAGGCTTATAAGCAAACGTATCACAACGCAATGAAATCTTAATGACAATTCCCCAAGCTGAGAAAGAGGAGTGTGTTTGAATAAAGAGGCCCTGTGTAAATGCACATATTTGCGGGGCAGATGGGGGAGCATATATTAACTTAACTCTCAGCCCCAACTGAATGGCTCCGGGTTCATCCCCTGGTCACAGGGCTGATCCCAGATAGGCGCTGGCTGAGCTGGGGAAAAGGGCAGAGCCTGCAGAGCAATGGGAAAGCTGTGAACAGAGTGGAGGAGAGCAGCACACTTCCTAAACACGCACATCTCTGACGCAGGGGGCCGAGCACACAGCTGGCGAGGAAGGCTGCATCACTGGGTAACCTTTTCTTCTCGGAGAGAAGGTCAGAGACAACAATCTGTGCCAGTTTACGCTCAGAACGCTACGCCTACACTTCCAGTATTTCCCTTTTGAAATGGGAAGCCCAGCTCATGTGACAGCCTCATGGAAAACACAGGAGGAGCTATTTTTTTTTTTAATTTAGAAAAAAAAAAGCACATGTTTTGGGGGGTTATGCAAGAATAATCAAGACAAATCACCCCACAAAAAAAAAAAAAAGAGCAGAGGAAACCTTTATTCTTTTTGCTCATGCAGACCTACCAAACAAGCAGCCTTCACAGGGTGACCTTTCCAGATGGTTGGTCTTGAAAGAGAGAAACTTTCTAAGCTAACTTATGGACTGACACAGTGAGCTCCTGTTCAGAGCCTCTCCTAAGGGAGGAGAATCAAAATGCAATCAGTTTTTATAGAGGCACACAGCACCCAAATCAGTACATTATTTTCCATCTGAAACTACCACTGGATGCAAACAAAAATAAATATGGCACCAATACAAGAATAAAAATCTTCCTGCTCAAGAAAGTTAGAGCAGCATGCTGACAGACCTCATTTTATCAGCAACTCGTTGGTATGAATTTCAGAGACCACAACAATACACAAAATGAAATTCAGCAGTAGATGAAGTGTTCTCCACTCTGCCCTCTGCAATAGTAAAGGGCAGGGAGCAGAATAAAGGAAACAAAAATACCAACAAAAAACAAACAGAACAAACAGTATTTCCAAAGAAGTGGTAAATAATTCCTGCTGTACAGAAGTCTTAGAGCTCTCATTAATTAAAACAAATGGGAAATACTTAGTGAAGCTCCACATATTGGTAGCACAGACTCTCTTGTCATCAGCCACAAACAAGAAACAGAACAAAAATATATAGATCTGTAGCAAATAGGATTTAGGAAAATAGTTAGAATCCTGTTGCCAGTGTGTTTATTCCCTTTATGTACATCTCTTTACAGAACAGGTCCAAGGCCACTGAAATTCCCATAAGAGGCAACCCTAGTGAAGTCCAACTCACAAAACACCTCTGAGGCTCCCAGACCTCCTTCCCCCAATAAACACCTCTTGCCCATACATCACCAAGACTCTGCTCCTTCCCTGCTTCTTCAGCACACCATGAGGCAGCTGGAAGGTGCAGGGAGCAATGCACTGTCACTCACTGCCCCAATGGCCACCACCACTGGAGAGTAGGAAGGAAGATTTGCTTGGAATTAATCCAGATAATTACACCACTTTCTCCCAACAGGCTGAAGAACCAAATGGATTTGAGGGGCTTTCTCACATACAAAACCACAAGTTCCTTAACCATGAGAACCTACAACAGGATAAAGCCCAGCTTAGGGCTTGGCCTTATATAATATTTTATATTGAGATATACACAATCACATGGAATTATTCCACAGCATGTACAATTACACAAACACATTTACGCTACTACAGTAAGCGTGTTAAAGAGAGAAAGTTTCCAATGAGGATATAGTACTTATAAAGACTTCAACTGTTACCATTCAGAAATAAAGAAGGATGGATTCTCAGCAGTCGTGGCGGCTGCTCCTTCATCAGCGCTTGGTCAATTTGCAGTTCACACCTGATTCACTCTCTCCACCTTACAGCATCTACAGGGAAAGACAAATGTGTGAGTTGTCATACACCGCATTCACCTAAAAACAGCATCTTTATCAGTGCCACTCCTTGGTTTTCATCCCCCCTCCCCCCACATCACTGAGTTTGAACTCATTCCCTTTGCCCTCCGCTTAGCTGGAATAGGATGGGGCTTTCCTCATTTGAATGATAAATGCAGTATACCAAATAGAACATGAAAATGGGCTGAAGGCAGAAGATCTGACTCTGATTCTCAATCTGCTTTTTGACCTTGGAACGAGGCATGTCTCTGTTGCCCCGTTTTCCCTCTTTCTTTGCCTTTCTTGCGCCCTTAGATTACTAGCTTCCTAAAGCCTGCTAAGTGTTTGTATGGTACCAACCAGATAAGACTCAGAGTTCACAGGAACCACCAGATAACACAAAAGCAGAAACAATAAATCTTATCAATCATTACTCTCCTACAGTCCACCAATGAGATACAAGATTTCAAAGTAATTTCCAAAAGTTACTTTCATTTAAAATACAAATTCTCATGAAAGAAGAGCATATGCAAGATTCACTTTTTTTTGCGTTCCCCCTCCAACCCAATAACATTCCTCTCTTCTTCAACCAAGATGATAAAGAGTTGCATTTCAGTATCCTTCCTGGTAGACACAGCTACAACATCCCTCTGCTTTTGAGCTGGCATCTCCCTGCAGAGCTGTTGCAGGGTCCTGCTCAGCATCTTACTGTGACGATGCTCTGCAACACACTGGTAGCAGCAATGGGAATGAGGAGACCCAAGTCTCATTTCACCACCTGCAGACAGACTTCCTCCCCCCATAGATGGACCCACCCCTTTCCCCAAGCACACACGCACCTCCCTTCCCCACAGCCTTCCCAACTCATTTTTTAACACTTTGCTATTTTGGTGTAAGTAGCCAGAATTAGCATACAGGGATGTACATGCCTATGCTTAATGCCACACACATCTCTCATCTTCCAGGTAGGTTCTGTGGTTATGGGCACATACAGAGCATTTATATGAACCTCCCTGTCAAAACAACTGATTTCATCAAACCACAACTCACTAGCATATACATTTCAGAGTTCAACCCATCTGTCAATAAACTATGCTTTCTGACATGAGTAGAAAACATTCCTTAAGCTTTTCAGTGATTTAGGAACTGGACTTCTACTTCCAGCTGATCCTTAATCCTCCTAGACGCCTACTGAGGCTTTAGTTCAGGAATGTTTACTCTCCTGCTGGCAGCCTACAGCCTTTTAGAGAGTCTTTACCTTTCCAAAGTAATGCATCTGTAATTTGTAATGCCAAATGCAAATTGCCCGATGTACAGCTTGTGCCAGCTGGGTACAGCCCAGCCAAGCCTGGTCCAAGCAGTGCAAGACATGCCTCAGCTAGAGGAGAAACAAACTCAAGCCCAGACCCATGCCACTCACCAGAGCTTAAAAAGCAGAGTAGAAAATGATGCAAGCAGAGCAAAACAAAGGCTATATCCAGGATATCACCTTATCTACATTTAGAGAGTTCAAGACCAGAGATGCTGTCATTACACCAGGCCCAGACTTCCTGCCATTCTCCTAAGCTGCATTAAGCCAATTTACCTGTAATTGATTAAAACATCTTCTCCAAATAAAAAACCCACTTTTTATTTAGAGACATGAAAAAGAAGGAACTCAATGCTATTTTAATCAGAGATTCTGAGGAGGGAATTACAATTTCTGCTCTCCTTCCCTTATTTTTAATCTAACCCAAAAATCACAGCAGAGAGTAGTAGCTCAAACGCTTTCTACCCAAGTTCATTTTAATCGGCCATCTCCTGTCGTCAGCAGCTGTTTGTCTGCTGCTCCCACTTACACTGTGCATCTTGGACTTATCGATCGAGCAAGCTTTAAATTACAGCTATCCACAGGAAAAAAAAAAAAAGCAGAAGGAACCATAACAGGAAAGAGCAGATCCGATAAAGGATTTCTGAAGGGCTACTTGGTTGTGCTAAGAGAAAATCTTAATAGAATTTCCTGGAGAGAAGGTCTGTGGGACTGAAGTTATCAGTGGGCTGCATGAACAGAGGATGTGTAAATAGAGCTCACAGGCTGAGTGGAAGGATTTATACTGAAAGTGGTTCCAGTGGGAAGCATAGGAAAGCTTGGCAAAATAAATGAAAAAATAAAATATAGTATTGGGAACCTAACACCTGTATCACTGGGTGCTTTTCACTGGGTTTATAAGAGCCAGTAACTTTCAGCTGTTCTTGTTTCAGTTATAGTATAAACAAACAGTGAGAATTCAGCATTCCCCAAAACCACAAAATAATATTAGCATTGGAAAGGCAGAGTAGGAACCAGGCTTTCAGTGCTCAGGTGCACCACCAGCAGCTTTAGCACATGGACTGCCTACATCAGAAAGCATCCAAAGGGACAAAGCTGATCCTACGCCTGCACAATCCTCCTCCACATCACAGCCTACATCCCACACAGTAACACTGCAGCAGGTGATCCCAAATCCTTTCAAAGTGCATCACTGGGTGAAGGGGAACTATCATTTTGCCCAAATATCTTCTGTAACATGAAGGAAAGAGCCTTCCTTGGCAGGAAGGATCCATTGCCCCCAGCAGAAAAGCTCCATCATCCTCCCATGGGTCACATACACAACAGACACAGGCAGCTCGGCAGCAAATTTGCAGCTGCAAAAGTCTTAACAAGACCACATTTAGCATGACAGTGGAAAAGAAAGCATTGCTGAAACAAAGCGTGTCTTAATGAAAACAAACGTCTCCCAGTCTGTGCTGAGAATGTAACCTGCTGTGTGGCTTTTCATGCCTTGTGTACAAAGGAAAAATACAGCCTTATAAAGTGGGATTTATGGCAATTGTCCTGAAGACCTCATGGTCAGAATCACAGTGGTTAGGTGCCCCGGTCTTGTAAACCTGTTGTGATTTTTAAAGATGAAATAGAAAATTGGGATATTGTTTCCTCCGTGCGCCTGCATGTCCATCTGCATTCGCAGCGCTGCTCCTGCCTCCCGCTTCCCAATGGCAATTACTGTTATCGTTCCACAAGCACAGCCACTTCGGTCTCTCGATGCCCAGAAGGCTGGAGGGAGCTGACAGATCGAAACCAGGAGCAGTGAGGGCTTCACACCACAGATGGCACCGGCGGCTCCTCGGGCTCCTGCACCCAGGGCCAGGACATGGGATGTCTGCTGCAATGTGACCTTCCTGCTCAGCCAACCACTTCTCCCTATGAGGGGGAGCACAGGGCAGGACACTGCCCCAGTGCTGCTTTAGCTGCTGTCCTGAAGCACAGCCCTGCTGTGGCTCTCTGGCTCAGCCCATCAATACAAATGGCAAGGAGGAATATGCTTCACTTCAGCATATTAATAGCAAAAGGTGCTCGGTGGAGGATTTCTTTTCTCCCCAAGCAATGCAAAGATGCATTTACCTGCTTGGAAAACAGCAGAGTATTAAGTGACCAAATGTAGCTGCTGGAAAAGATTGCTGTCTTTAGAGTGGGGGGTTGGATGCCACACAGGAAGGGCGGATGTGCTAAGGGGAGTTCTGCAGTGACAGCATCAAACTAATGCCAAGTACACACATTTAATTAATTTTTTTCCCCAAGGAGGGAAAAAAATAAAGGCAAGAAGGAAGGAGCTCTTAATCATTAAAGAAGCAAACATTTTCAGATATAGTCTTACCCATGTACAATATGAATACAATCCAACAAAGTTACTGAGAAAAGCCCGTGCAACAGTTTTCTTACTCCTTAAATAATTTCACTTTTAGTAGCAGTAGCACAGAACAAATTTTGCAGAAATAAAACTTAGATGTCCAATTTAGTTTTCAATTTGCCCACTCAAAAAACGTGAATAGAGAAAGTGAGCTTGGGGTCAATTTCTGCTTTAGAACACGGCGCTCCCTATCACTGCAAACACAGTATGGCAAATTTCTCAAATATCTATTTATTTGTTACTGGAAGGGTTGCTATAATATGGGAGAGAACCTTGAAGTACCGATCACAGCTGTCTAAGACCATCACACTGTGTTAGCCAAACAATTTATGTGATTTACCATACCAATAAAAGAAGGCAAGCATGAGTAAGTTTTCATAAATCAAGCTTATTGGGCCGGATTCTGACCCACGATTATTCAGGCATACAAAACACTGCAGCTCATTACTGGTACACAACTCACTGATCTTAGCATAGCGACGTATGGTGTTAGAAGCTGTTAAGACAGGTACCAGAAGAAAAATCAACCTGCCTATAACACACATACAGGGGCCGATGCATACACACACATCTTTTTACTGGCTTGTTGCTAGCGAGGCATATCACAGACATTTTCCTTAAAGGAAGTGTCAAGGTCTGTGCAAAGGCACTGTGCTCTCGTGTAGAGCATGGCCCCAGGACCTCACTAAGAAGGCATTCAGTGGTTCTACCCAGCACCACGACACACGTATGTATTGATTTCAGATTCACAGTGGACACCAGCATTATTGCCCCTTCAGGAAAACTGTGCCTGTCAGGGAATCACCTCTGTCAATATTTTCCTCCTTGATCACTAAATCCTGATAGTCAATAAAAGTCAGCGAGCACAACTGGCGCTATCACAGCAGCCTGTGCATACCTTGGGGTAAAATTTGGCACGCTTAGTGTCTGCCCATTAGTTAGAACGATTTTGCAATTAAAATCCCCAAGGCATAGAGCACACTTAAACTTGATTTTAATAACCTAATGCACAACGCATCTCTGTGCTGCAACCTCTCCCCAGGCTCTTTAACATGGCATACACAAAACTAAATGGCACCCGAGCTGGAAAAAGGATTTCTCCTGAACTGGAAATGCAACCTCAGAAATAGCTCAAAAATATACATTTTTTTTTATACAACCCATGCATTACTATCGCAACATTAGGGCTTCAGGAAAAAACACAGCCAGAAAACTGAGTTCTGTGCTTTCCAGATTAAAAAAGCAGATTTCAGATGTTCACACATGCCAAAACACCCAGTCAGTCATCCTCAGAAATGCTGAAGCAAGACTTCAGCTGGGATTGATCTGTGTAAATAATAATGCTTCAGCAAGGCTATGTCACCTGACAAACGATTTCCCTAATTAAAAGTTGTAAGCAGACCATAAACAGATTTAACTGAGGATGCTTTTCACCACTCCACAACACAAAAGTCAATCATAGGACAACTGCCGTGACACATAAAGTGAGAAAGGATCAGAAAGGTTTAACCTGTGAGGCTAACTGCAAGCAATCATACACACTAATAAGTACCTTAGCTAGCATTTAAAATAAATAAAGCTATGAAATAAGCAGACTGGAAAGATCCCTAAATCAAGCTAGTGAACGATGTACAAATTATTTTTTTTTTCCCCTCAGACTTCTAAAATTACTGACTTCCAACCAGAAGAAGTTAAAAATCAGAGGACGGAAGTTGTTCACTATTACTGATTTGTTCATGTCTGACCTTGATTTGGTCATCAGCTCTCTGCTTGCCCATAAGATGGTCAGGCCGTGGAAACAGAGTGATATTTGTTCACGCAACAATCTTGAATCCTTATGTAGCTCTTCTCCTCAGCAAATCTGCAAGCACTCTGCAAAGAAGGACGGCTTTGTTATCCCTGATTCAGACAAGGAAATTGCAGCAGGAGGATAATTGCGGAGCCAGAAATAACACGTCCAAGTCCCAGGCTAATGGCCTAACTGATAAGTAACAGCACAGGGCATTTTATTAACGCAGAAGACAACTGAGGTCAAGATGAGCCATTCCAGTATTGCTACTTTTGAACTGCTGAAAGTGCAAAGAGAAAAGTGCAACTGCAAACTACATCAGTCAGCCCAATTAGTTCTTTACATTGGCTCTCGAGACTGAAAGCATGCCATTAACTCCTTCTATCCACAAATGTGTACAAAGACAGCACACCAGTGATCCTCTATATCCTGAGAAGTTATTAAGCACGTGTTTAAGATATTGTACTGCAACAAATGCTTAGAGCCCAGTACACTTTCAAGAGGATTTTGTCTACCAGGAAAAACAAAGAAACACTTCTATTGGGAAAAGCACTTGTAGAGAAAAGCAACAGCAGATACAGATGCTTTAAACCAGCTTAGGATCACCCACAAAAGACAGAGGTCACAATCTGTTAATAAGGAAGGAATTGCTTACCCCCTTTCCAAGGCTCAGGGCTCACTAAATAATCCAAAGGAGGTGATCTCCAAGTAGAGACCCTTCCCTTACAGTGACCAGCCCTTAAATGAGGTTAGGGAGGGGTAGAGCCAGGGCCCTCCCCATAGGGCCACACAGGTGAATTGCTTCCACCTGTGCTCCCAGTGATGGCTACCCTTCACCAGGTGCTGAGTCACTGCTTCAGGCCATGACTTAACAGTTCCCATACATCACTTTGTGGGTTAAAAACTGTAACAGCTAAGAAATAAGCTTGGAAAACAAAGTTTTCCTTAGAATAGAGGAAACTGGTGTCAATGCATTGAGCTCTGCTGTGTAACAGGCAGTGGATTGGCTGAGAGCTGGTGCTTGTGGGTCAGAAACAGCTGATGAGGATGATGCTGCTGGGGGTGTCTGCCAACCTGATCAAGAACTGGAGATGGAGGTGGATAAAGCCTTGTTCAGCCTTTACAATCAAACATCGCAGTCATCATAGCGGCCTTCAGACACACTGATATCTGCTAAAAAGGCAACTGGAGGTGCACAAGCAACCTAGATTTCATAAACAGATCAAAGAAAATGTTGATGCTGGACTTCAGAGGAGCAGAATTTGGCTTGCTCAGGGAACTAGCAGGTGCAATGCTATGGCCAGCTGCCCTGGGGAGCAAAAGGGCTCTAGGAAGCTCCTTGATCTTCATGGAAAACCTCCTCAAAGCCCAAGAACGATTCACTCTGATGTACAGGAAGTGGAGCAGACGTGGCAGAAGGCTGACTTGGCTGAATGTGAATCTCTGACTGAGCTCAAACACAAAAAGAAAGTGAACAGAAGGTGGAAGTGGGGATAGCCTGCCCAGGAGGACTACAGAAATCTTGCCCAGACCTGCAGGGGTGGAATTAGGAAAGCCAAAACCCAGGCAGGGTTGGAACTGGCAAGGAATGGGATGCACAAGACAGGTTCACTCATAGGTACCCCTGCAGCAAAATAAAGGCCAAAGAAAACATCAGTTCCTTCTGAAGACAGCAAGAGAACTACTGACAAAGGGTTCAGAAAGGATAAGGCATTCAGTGACTGTTTACAGCATTTTTCACTGAGAAGTCCTGCTCTTAAGCCATCCATGTCTAGTTAAATAACTTCTTTGTCCAGAAGAATAAAGTGCTATCTACTATAGAGGAATATTTTGTTCAGGAGCACTTAAGGTGGGCATCCATAAGTCTCTGAATTTGCAAAAAATTCAGCAGAGAGGGCCTGAATGAGGAAGAGCTGCAGCACGTGATGCATGAGGCTGAGAAATGTGCTTGTTTAGCACCAAAAACAAAAAAGGCTAATTAGTGTTTTCAGCTGGACAAAGCTCTGAGCAATGTGACCTAACTTAAAGTTGGTCCATACCTTCTGCACAAGGTTAGATCAGATGACCTCCAAAAGTCCCTTCCAACATTAATTATTCTACTATTTTCATGGTTTCTCTTTCACTTGTATATATTATGGGACATTAACTTGTAAAGCAGCACTTGGAAATAATTATTCCGAGTCCATGCAATGCTTTCAAATGCAATAAAACATTCCATATATATTTGAGAAGCATTCTACTGCTGGTAAAGAATATCATGGCCTAAGAGCCAGTCAGCCAGAGCCAATTAAAGCTCCATCAGCCTCCCATGACACCCAAATGCCTAATTGAACCCGTACCCTCTGCGCGAGATGGAGGTTTTGCTTTCTTCACAGAAGCCCGAAATGGGGATTTCACTGCTGTGCCTCTGCAAATCAAGATCATTATCAAAACATAACGATCAAAACAGGAGATGCCTGCATTGATTAAAATAATGGTATTCCTCCTCGAAGAAGAAAAGACGTCTTCCCTTGCAAAAAGACAATCTCAGATGTTTAGTTACAAATACCCATTTTAACCCTCCTGGCAAATGCGGAATGTGAGCAGGAGCAAAGGATGCACATGCATATTTTGAATTAAACTTCAAAAGCAAGTGGTTCATTAGCAGAACGTGATAAAAAGTAAGGCATGTTTGATTGAACAGCCACGGTTTTGTAAAACCTGAGTTTGATTCTAAAAAAGAAGAGAAAAATTGAAGTGTATTTGGACTGAAATATATAAACTTACAATAAAAAAAAAATCACTTGGTATTTATAGATACTGAACAATGCACTCATTATTATTCATGCTCATTACTGTTCATTTTGCTACTGTCACAAAAAATATGGCAAATGACTGACAGCTTTTAAAATATATTGATGTCTGAAGAAGGAAAATAGCTGAAAGATCTGGAGCTTTGAATTCTGAAATCTTTATGCATTGCCAATATTACACTAATTTGATCTGACCTTAATTCCTTTTTTTTTTTTTTTTTTTTTTTTAATTTAAATCTCTTCAATCTTTTGAGTTAATTTGAGTAATCTTTTCTTTCCTTTTTTTTTTTCTTCCCTGGGAGAATTCATGATGTACTTCTACTTGGTTTCAGTAAGCTGTGAAAAATCACTGCACATCAGAAAAAGTTCAAGCAACATTTTTCCCTAATTAGTCCATAAAAATGCTAATTTTTCTAATGAACCAGATTGAAATATCACAGGAATAGGTAATAGTGCAAATACAGAGTTTGCTTATGGGGTAGGCTTTCCATTTTGCTAATCACTACAGCACTGAGCAACTTACAAAGCCAATACTGTAATGAGGTTAGAGAGGCAAAATATGCTCAGTCAACTTTTGTGCAAAATAATGTTAGTTACTTGCATATGCATCTACTCACAATAACCATGCATTCATTTACAAATGTAAAAAAAACAGAGCCCCAGTATTTATAGCCTGAATTCTCAGCTGCATTGAATCCTTCCATCCCCATTACAAGCAGAGCTCCTCTGCCTGTTTACTCAAGCTGAGGATGTGACCATAAATCTTTATTCTGCCCAATTTCACTGTTAATACAGACCATTTCTGAAAGCGATAAAATAATACTTTCTTTTTTTCATGGGCCAGTAGCTAATAATGTCTCCAGTCTGAATTGTACAAGCAAGAGACTGAAATCACTGTCTGTCTGCCCCACAGCATCTTCCTCTATTTTTTTCCTGCATTTACACTCTTGCTCCTGCCTTCTGTGCTGGCACACACTGAGGCACTTGTATCCAAGCCACAGATCGAGGAAGGAGCGGTCTTTTTTCAAGTCAAAATCCAGTAGAATCAATGAGCTCTTAGAGGAAATCTCCTAAGGCTTGACCTTCAGGGTGGCCTTTTACTCTCTAAAGCCCATGTAAAACCAAGATTCTACCAGTCAACACTTGGCAAAAGATTTAAAGAATAGGACTGTTACCTATTGGTGGCATCAGAAATCTAAGCAGGAATTAAGCAGCTTGAAAAAGCCTTTAAATTCAACTTATCACTCTCCCAGAGCTCTCCATATATTCTTTATGACCCTGTGTTCCCTCACCCCTTTGATCATTCTATATTGAAGTAGTCTCTTGTTTAATACGTAGCTAAGATGACTGCATGATAACATCAAAACAGAAAGGAACATAAAGAACATGAAAGAATACGAAGTCAATAGCTTTGCCAATCACAATGCATAAACAGCAGAGTTAAAAGCCGTGGTGTTACAGTGCTGTCTTTATGCTCTCACAAAGCTGCATGCAGTGCTAAGACCAACTACAGATTGAAACCAATGATTAAAACTGCATTGGGTTTGCTTTCTTCTTGCTTTAATTGTTCACTGTGCTCAAGGGGAGATCTATGAATTCAGCACCTATTTTTGCCTGCTGTATCAGCTGATATAACTGCTGGAAATAAGGGTTTCCAAGCATGTGTTTCCTCAGAATTCCATAAAACCTTCACCCTTGTACCTCCATCCTCATCACAGAGCTATCTTCCAGCCTGCTCCAAAAGGGATTTTTGACAAGATGCAAACAGGGACAAGATATGTTTGTTCAAATCTCTCTCAAGCTCTTTTAAAAACTAATTCCAACTCAATAACAACAAGAAAGTCTTGTAACAAGATTTTGTCTTCTTGATACGCAACATCTTCCTGCTGCAGTGTTTACATAAAACCGCGCGGTACATGTCGGAAACCAGACAGACTGAAAAGTTGATGCCTACTGTCTAGAACTCATCTCACACTTGGTTCTCATGCCATATTTCTTGGCTTCCTACACTCATGCTAATCTGCTAAAAATCATTTTACCCACTTGGAAGGCGACATCTCACTTGCACTCAGTTCTATTATTCATCAGACTACTGGGATGGCAGCTCCATGACTGACTGCTAATTATACTTTCCCACTGAATGTCAGTGGCAGTTGCATTTTCAGCAGCCATTTATTATTCTTCCCAAGGAGTCATGAGGTGGAAGCTGAGACCTATTGAAGTCAGTGACAAAAGCCCCATTGACTTCAATTGTGTCAGGAATTCATCCTTTAATGGAGAGAGCTGTTTAAGCGCTGTTTAGTAATATGATGTCAACACTCTGAGATAAGAACTGACACCAGAACAACCTGCATATTACCAGCAGTGCCAGGATGGGACACAGCACTCAAGCCCTGCACACCATCAAATCCCCATCTCAAGGCAGTGCAACATTCGGATTTCCGGCGCCTACAGACAGAGAGCAGCCTCCTGTCAGGTCAAGCTGAGTGCATGCAATGTGCTGAGAGCAGCTGTGCTTTGATGCTGTGATGGAGACATTCATTTGGTAGGCTGGAATCATACCTTATCCTGTAGATGGGCAACAGATTCAGCACAGCTGTTTGCATTTTGTGATAGCCTGCACAGGGCAAAGCCCATCCTCAAGGTAAGCGTATCAACAGGCTGCAGGGACACAGCCAGGTCCAGGGGGAGGGAACAACAGAAACCTCTCATCTATCTCCTTCCCACCTGCATCAGCCCAAGCAGGTACAGGAAGGACAGCCATCTCCTGAGGGCAGCAGCAAGGACAAGCTGAGCTGGAAGGCAGCATTTAGCAGATGGCTGAGACCAGCAGTGTTTTTAGCAGCCATCCTGTCCAAACCAAGCTGGAGAACGTTCTGCATCGCTCCATCTTTCTCATGCAGCTAAATGATGTTGGCAGTGGGATGGAAGCCTACCATTTGCATGC